CTGGCAGCGCAGGAGGAGCCACTGGCCCCCCCCAAAAAAGTCTTTACAGAAGGTTCGGAGAAGTTCTGCTCTAAGGATCTTGATACAAGATGGTGGGAGGGATGGCTCAAGGCTGGAGGGATGAAACCAGGAACCAGGAAGAGAAGCGCTGGGCAAGGCATTGCCGAGGCTGCTACCCACAAAGACACCCAGATGGCACTGTCCTAACCCACGAGGGTGGCCAGGAGTCAACCCTCCCCTCCACGCCCTCCTCCTGCAAATCTGCACAAATTAAGGTGGACCTGAGAAGAAGGGGAAGACATGGAGGCAGTGACAGATTTTATTTTCCTGGGCTCCATGATCACTGCAGAGGGTGACAGCAGCCACGAAATTAAAAGACGCCTACTTCTTGGGAGGAAAGCGATGAAAAATTTTGACAGCATCTAAAAGCAGAGACATCACCTTGCCAACAAAAGTCCGATCACTGCAGAGGGTGACAGCAGCCACGAAATTAAAAGACGCCTACTTCTTGGGAGGAAAGCGATGAAAAATTTTGACAGCATCTAAAAGCAGAGACATCACCTTGCCAACAAAAGTCCGAATAGTCAAAGCTATGGTTTTTCCTGTTGTGATGTATGGAAGTGAGAGCTGGACCATAAAGAAAGCAGACCGCCAAAGAATTGATGCCTTTGAATTGTGGTGCTGGAGGAGACTCTGGGGAGTCCTCTGGACTGCCAGGAGAGCAAACCTATCCATTCTGAAGGAAATCAACCCTGAGTGCTCACTGGAAGGACAGATCCTGAAGCTGAGACTCCAGTACTTTGGCCATCTCATGAGAAGAGAAGACTCCCTGGACAAGACCTTGATGTTAGGAAAGTGCGACGGCAAGAAGAGAAGGGGACGATTGAGGATGAGATGGATGGACAGGGTCATCAAAGCGACCGACATGAATTTGACCCAACTCCGGGAGGCAGTGGAAGACAGGAGGGCGTGGTGTGCTCTGGTCCATGGGGTCACAAAGGGTTGGACACGACTAAACGACTAAACGAACGAACAAATGAGATGCACAACCCACAAGGGATTCCAGCAGCCTAATTACGAAGCAATTTGTTTGTTAACTGCCCAAAGTGGCTATATTTGTGTTTAACAATTTATAAAAACCTCTGCAGTGAAGCTCCATCAGCTGCATCCACGGCAGCCGGTCAAGGCGTAATCACTATCCGTGAACCACGAATTTTTGCAAGCTTTCTGATGAAATGGCCTGTATTGCGATTTGTGCAATTTGGACATTTTGGGTCTGGTCAAACGGCCCCAACAACAGTTAGGGATTCCAAACTCATGGGGAATCTTTAGCTGACCCTGGAGGTTTGATAGAGATTGGATTTTGGATATCTGAGTTATAGCCTCCCACCCATCCCCAAAAAGAAGGTCACCCAAGGAAAGTGCTCTTTAGCAACTGGCTTGGGGGAAACGGTGATTCATGAGAGGGCACTTGAGACCAGGAATTCCTTATCATGAGGTGGACTGGAGAGGGATGAGAAGGGGGAGGATGAATGGACTTGCTAGCTAAGTGTCCTTGTCTCATGCCAGCTGCTGCAAAAGTGAAACCACCATCTGAGCTGCCCAGGGTGGGCCTTCTGCAATCAGCTGCTACCTATTAGAGAACAGCCCTGGGGCTCCGTGCATGGCTGCCTGCCCTGACAATCAATCCTACACAATGTTTTCTCTAGGCCCACTGCAGCACTGCCAAGGAGGGAATTGAATGAGTGGTGCCAGCCTGTCTAGCCAGGGACTACGCACCTGAAAATGAAGTGCATGAATTGCCAGATTAGGGATCCTTCAGTCTCAAGAGACGATGGTCACGTGCTCTGAATAGAGAACTTGGAACAGCATCTAGTGTGGCTGAGAAGGCCAATTTGAGAGTGACCATCCCTTCAACACTGAAGACAAACACAATATGTCCCCTGTCCAGCTCCCTGGTTTTGCTGCTTTTGTGACTTCCTCTTTGCCTCAGCCTGCTGGACAAGGGTCTCTTCAAATTGGAAGAGGCCGTGATGCACCGCCTGCCTCCAGGCTGAACGCTCAGATGTCAAGGTTTCCCATCTGTTGAGTTCCATTCCTAAGGCCTTCAGATCCTGCCTGCAGATCTCCTTGGATCGCAGCTGTGGTCTCCCTCTGGGGCGCTTTCCCTGCACTCATTCTCCATACAGGAGATATCTTTTGGAATCCGATCCTTAGCCATTCTCACGATGCCAATAATATTTCACCATTTTGTTTCATTCTGGGCAGGCGTGTTTCTCCAAAGTGCCCCAAAGTAAAACCTGAAATGGCTCTATTTGTGCAGGAAGAGTTGCTTCATGGTCCATTTTGTGTCCATCCCTAATGGACACAAAGGTAGTGAAGCAGTTCCAACTGGGAGGGGGGAGGATGTGATCCCTGGGACCAGCCCCGTTTAGCAAACTGGCTGCCTCTGAAGATCCAGATTCTTTCTAGTCTCCACACATGGCACAGCTCCATGGAAAACTCCATCGTAGTGCATGTTAAATGAAATGTCTGCTTCTCTTGGGCATGCGTGGTATAAGTTGTTCCTTTTCTGGTTACTCATTAGAACAATCACCCTCCTTCTCTTCAAGCAAGCTTTCACCCTCCCCTGAACTTAGTTTCTGATTCCTCCATGTCAGGCATGTGTACATCCATGCCTGTTTTTCATGCGCATACATTCTGATAGCTCACATTTGACAATCGCTGGCTAGGGACTGTGCATGGGCAATACGGTACTGTATTGCACTGCATTGCATTGTAATTTTTTATATTCATGTCTCCCATAATGTCTTTGCACTGAAGATCCTTCTGTTTTTCACACTTCAAGCTAAAATGTGGCTGAACTATGCAGACAGATGGTGGCAGGAAAAGAAGACGCCATGGGCTGCCCTTCCAGTCCTCTTCTACCTCCTCTTCCTCCTCCTCTGTGTGTGCTTGTGTATGACTTTGTATCAATGTCACCTTCGCCCTAAGGGTACCTGTCCACTTCTGGCTCTGTCCACCTGAATTGTGACTTCTACCCCACCAACCGCAATGATCACCAGCCGCCAACGGTGGATTAAGCCCTTCCTCCCTGCCAGCCTGACCCCCAGCTGGCTTAAAATGTCAAGAAAGGTGAATTAGGCATAGCTCTGTTAATATTTTACTTGGCAATAAAAGTTATTGCCTGTTGCATTCCCACCAGCAAGTTCTAATCATGACTGTTGTAGGTTTTCCTGAGTTTCATATCCTTTAGCCTTGAAGTTATGTAAGGGGTTTTTCTTTTGAAACATGGTGCTGTAAGAGAGTTTTGCTGATTGTCTATGGTTTATTCTTTACACACACACACATTATTCTTTCTAATTTTCCCCTCTGGATTCTCCTGGATCAATTCTCCTGCACGTTCCCCATAACCTTCAGGAAACCTGTTCCTTGGAATAGGTAGCTCTATATCTTTCTTTGCCAATCTTTAGGTTTAAGACTACTGATGCTCAACCTAATGAGCTTCAAAGAGAGGAGTGATGGAAGATTAGCAGCAAATACGGTGTTTTCTAAAGGGCTAACTGTGGCTCATCTTGCCGAACTCTAATAGCGTCTGCTACTTTAATACTGGTTGTTCTGTTTTTTACTTTTAATTTCACCATTGTGTATTCTGTTAGAAACCGATTGATTTTTCCTTTGATTTTTTTTCATATTTTCCCTTCATTTTGTGGGTCTTCTTTCCTGTTTATAAACTGTGTTTTAAATGATTTTTTCAGATTAATTGCAGCTGTGGAGAACTGCTAGATAGCTCAGTGGTTTGGGTCTCTGGATGCAGAGTTCGAATCCCCCACTGTGTTTCCTTGACAAGGGCTGGATTTGATGATCCATGGGGTCCTTCCAGCTCTGCAGCCCCAAGATGATGAAATGCACTTCTTTAGAAGAATGTAGACATTTTGCTTTAGAGGGATAGTCTTTGAGAAGTCTGCTCAACTCTGTTTTGCCCAGCCTTACAGCTGTATAGGTCCAGATACTCTGTTTTTGGTGCATATTGACTAGGGCTTGTAGTAGTAGTAGTAGTAGTAGTAGTAGTAGTAGTAGTAGTAGTAGTAGTAGTAGTAGTAGTAGTAGTAGTAGTAGTAGTAGTAGTAGTAGTAGTAGTAGTAGTAGTAGTAGTAGTAGTAGTAGTAGTAGTAGTAGTAGTAGTAGTAGTAGTAGTAGTAGTAGTAGTAGTAGTAGTAGTAGTAGTAGTAGTAGTAGTAGTAGTAGTAGTAGTAGTAGTAGTAGTAGTAGTAGTAGTAGTAGTAGTAGTAGTAGTAGTAGTAGTAGTAGTAGTAGTAGTAGTAGTAGTAGTAGTAGTAGTAGTAGTAGTAGTAGTAGTAGTAGTAGTAGTAGTAGTAGTAGTAGTAGTAGTAGTAGTAGTAGTAGTAGTAGTAGTAGTAGTAGTAGTAGTAGTAGTAGTAGTAGTAGTAGTAGTAGTAGTAGTAGTAGTAGTAGTAGTAGTAGTAGTAGTAGTAGTAGTAGTAGTAGTAGTAGTAGTAGTAGTAGTAGTAGTAGTAGTAGTAGTAGTAGTAGTAGTAGTAGTAGTAGTAGTAGTAGTAGTAGTAGTAGTAGTAGTAGTAGTAGTAGTAGTAGTAGCAGCAGCAGCAGCTCCTCAGACTATCTTTGGTTACACCTTTTGCCCACTGGGACAAACAAAGAAAAGAGTGTGTTGCTTATAAAGAGCTTATTATTCCCTATATATTTTCAGGATTGTTGCCTGTCATCACCCTACTTTATAGGTTTAGTTCTGTGTGAATTTCAAATTGAAACAGAACTTTGGGAGACCGAAATGCCTCATCCAAGTGGTTTAGAGTTTCAAGATAGCACTCCCTCTAATCTCGTCAAAAGACTAAGCAGCAACCTGCCCTGGATGCAAAGTATTAGAAATGAACAGAGGAGGACTAGTAGATCATTCTTGCAGATGACAAGAGATGATCAAAAAGTGCCGCAGAAAACAGAGTAGGACCAGAGATACCCAGTGAAAGAGAGGTAACATCAGTTTTAATGAAAGTGGAGAAAGAGGACCAAGTGTGAAACAATTGACTGTCAGTCCCCGGATTTCAGGCTTTTCTGAGTCTCCGCTGGGTGGGTTCTTCATGCAAAAGGAAGGCAACACGCGACACCTGTCACACAGGCCCCAGTGTTTTGCTCAGTGGCTAGGCACTTGGATGGACGGCAAATCCCTCCCACCGAACGACACTGAATGACACTTCTCGGACGGACAGCATCTGCAGGAATACAAAAGAGGCATTAATAAATCCACCCTTCTTTCATTCCTTCTTTTTTCCTTTGTTTGGTTAAGTCCTATATTTACACAATTATTCACCCTGCATCCTCTAATTTTTTTTTCAACGCAGTGTAATACTGACAGTAGCTGACCAAGGAAATATCATACAATATTTATACCCTATTCCTATTCTGTTGTGAGCTGTCTGGGTATTTCAGTGGTTTAGGCTTCTGGCTGCAGAATACGAGGTTTGGAGTTCGAGAGCCCACTGGGCCTTCTGCAAGAAGAGTCAAACTGTGTGATCCTCACAATCCCAAGGCGCCCCCAGAAGATGGGAAGGATAGACCACTTCTGGGTACAGTATTCTCTACTTGGAAAGCCCTGTAAGTCTTCGCCATAAGTCAGAATTGACTTGAAGGCGTATTGTTATTATTATTCAAAAATACCAAATATAATCAATCAAAATTAACTGGTTGTTATCATTATTCTGTCTTGGAATGTACTGTCCAATGTATTCCCTAATGAAGAGCTGGAAACAAAGGTGCAACCTTGAATTAGAACATTCACTCTTTTATTTTTAATTTTTTTTTAAAAATTATTTATTTATTTTTGGATGACATCTCACAGAATCTCAAGCTAGCTAGACGGGGTGATCTGGAAATGCAGTGTTTCCAGTCTCTGAATCCAACCCTGAATTAACTCCACAAGTTTCAATCAGGTCAGCAAAGTTACCATTAGAAAACTATTGCTAATATTTATTGTGTTATTCTACCCTTTATAGCCAACTAGAGGTAAGACAAACCAGGAGACAAGGAAGCTCCTTAATCTTCAAGTCCATCAGCAGATCCGAAGGATTCCTTACGATCCTACAACCCTCCTCTGCCTGAACTGGATTCCATCTTGCTTTCATTTTCAGCCCTCTAAACGACAGAGGATGTGATGATCGACAATGTCATCGGAGCTACCAGAATGAATTTGACCCAAATCCGGGAAGCAGTGGAAGACAGGAGGGCCTGGCGTGCTCTGGTCCATGGGGTCACGAAGAGTCGGACATGACTAAATGACTAAACGACAACGAAACCTCCTTGGATTGTCGTCATGCTGAACCCTCAGTTGAAAGACCTCAAGTAATGGCTGCCAGTGGAAGAGGGAAGGGAGGGGACAATGAAGAAATATAAACAGGCAGGGCAGGAAGGAGCTGTCTGAGCCCAACAAGGATGCTTCATTCTCACTGTGAAATATGGCCCTTCCATGAATTCCTTAATTCCACCCAACTTCTCCCACTGGGATATTACCTTGAGGTTCTTGAGGTCCTGGTGCTGGCTCTGGATTTGGCTCAGCCTTCATCTGGAAAACCAAGACAGCAACAGCAAAGAGCAAGAGGAAGGCCTTCATGATGGACAGCGGGCTGTGATCTCAACGTCCCTGGTGGATGGATGGAGGCTGAAGAATGGATGCAGGAGAAGGACGCAGAAGCCTTCTATTTAAAGATGCTTCTCTGGTTGCAAGCTGGGTAGTTCTGGGTGGTGCACCTGCCATACGATGAAAAATTAGCTCTAGTGCAAACATCCTTGATCAGAACTCCCACCTGAGAAATTCCACTGTTTGCTCAATATTTGCTTGAGATTAAAGGATCCTATTCTCCAGATGGAGGACCTTGTGTGAGCTTTCTGTACTTGTGTACGTATAATAAACCAACAACAGAGAATATAATAGTATGATTCTTCAGCTGTCTGTGTAGACATAGTCCCTGATGCATTCAGTGGCACTAACCACCTGGTAATTAACTGCAGAGTTTGTGCTACAATGTGCAAATGTTGAATGAATATTAATCGGAATCTTTAATTATTTCAATGTTTGCTGATAGAGATGAGCAGGAAGCAGAAAACCACCATGAACGCCCGGAAAATTGACCTGGTTTGTGGTTCATTTTGTCCGGTTCATGCCTGGGGGGAGGGGAACAGACCAGGTCCACTCCTTCTGACTTCCCATGGCCGCCATCACCCCCCTGCCTAGTTTTGCCACCTTCTCTTCCTGCACTGGTGCCGTCAGTCCCCACCACCATCTTCACAGACAGCGGCCTAGCTTTCCTTTTCAGGATCTGGCCCACGGTCTCTGCCCAAGTGCCCACCTCTCTACTGATAGGCAACTACATGCCCAGAGCCAGCTGGCCGGCCTCTGAGAAGGTCAGCTGGGCTGCTCTCTCTGAAGAGGGTGATGGCAGACAAGGAGGAGGAGGAGAAGGCAGGCCCAGCTAGGCAGATGATGGGGCAACAGAAAAAAGGTGAATGGGCATCCATTGGGCCAAAACATAATGAGGCGCCGAGTGGAAAAAAACTCAGTACTTCATTTTGTTTCAGCAAAATGGGTTGCCTCCGTGTAACTTTGCATCCCCCCCCCCAATTGGGACAAAAGTCAAGGCCACAAGTGCACCAAATAAGCTGAAATGGGATTTTTTTTTTGCAAGACTTACAACTCATTCATTTTGTTTTGTTTAAATGGCGGTCTTGGAACAAATGGGATATATATATATATTTTGCAAGACTTACAACTCATTCGTTTTGTTTTGTTTAAATGGTGGTCTTGGAAGTCTCCCCGTATTTTGTGTTTTCTGTGATAACGAATTTCGTGACTGGTTCTACTTTTCAACAATACATGGATTAATCTCCCTTTCAAGGTGCATCCTCTGGAGGAAAAGGTGTTCTTCCCAGCAAAGCACACCAGTGAAGACCACAGTCTGGAGACCACAATCTGGTCCGTGAGCTAATGGTACCTGCACATGTTGTTATTATTGTTCGTACTCGTATATCACCCCATAGTGCTACAGCACTATCAGGACAGCTTACAACATATTTATTCAAACAATAACTTACTCCACCCCACCCATAGTGAACTGGGTATTCATTTCACCGACCTCAGAAGGACGGAAGACTGAGCCAACCTAGGAGCGACAAGCTGGATCCCTTGGGATTGAACTCAGGTTGTAATAGTAGAGATGGGCATGAAACAAACACTGAAGGGGTGGACATGAATTGGGCCATTTTGTGGTTCGTTTTGGGGAAACATGCTTGCCCAGAACAAAACCAACGGGACTATTCTCAGCATCTACGATTCATCGTCCATGGCCGGACAGCCTGGAGCCGCTCAATCAATTCCCTAGGCATCACATGGAGAAAACTTTGAGTAGGAAAACACACACACACACACAGACACAAACACACACGCCAGCGACTTCACTTCTTCACTTTACATTATTTCTTCTAGTTTTCCCCTCTGGATTCTCTGGGATCAATTTTCCTGCACGCACACACACACACACACACACACCAGCGACTTCACTTCTTCACTTTACGTTATTTCTTCTCGTTTTCCCCTCTGGATTCTCCGGGATCAATTTTCCCGCACATTCCCCTGGATCTTTAGGAACCTCTAACTTGGAATAGGTAGCTATGCATCTTTCTTTGCCAGTCTTTAGGCCTCCTAGTAGTAAGCTTGAAAGAGAGGAGTGGTGGAAGATTAGGGGCAAATATAGTGTTTTCTAAAGAACTAACTGTGGCTAATTTTGCACACAGTATCTATAATATCATCTGTAACTTGAATGCAAGTTGTCCTGCTTTTCACTTTTGATTTCACCATTGTAAACTGTGAAATACAGTGGTGCCTCGCATTACGACGTTAATTCGTTCCAGCGAAATCGCTGTAGAACGAAAATGTTGTAATGCGAAATTAAAAAGCCCATAGAAACGCAGTAAAACCCAATTAATGCATTCCTAGGGGCTTGAAACTCACCGTCCAGCGAAGATCCTCCATAGCATGGCCATTTTCGCTGCCTGTGCAGCGAGGAATCCGTCCCAGAAAAGAGCGGGGAGCCATGTTTTTTACCTGGTGGCCATTTTGAAACTGCCGATCAGCTGGCTGAAAATCATCACTTTGCGAGAATCAGTTCCCAAAGCAGGGAACCCATCATCGCAAAGCGAAATTCCCCCATAGGAAACATCGTTTTGTGATCGCTTTTGCGATCGCAAAACCTTCAACGTAAAGCAATTTTGTCGTAAAATGGAGCACTCGTAATGCGAGGCACCACTGTTTGCCTCATACTTGAATTACTGAGTTTCGCTCACCTTCTTCCACTTGGTAATCATCCTCAGTTGAAAGATTAGGTCCTGCCTCTGTATTTGGCTCAGCCTTCAACTGGAAAACCAAGAAAGCAATAGCAAAGAGCAAGATGAATCCAGGCAATGCTCGGTAATGTGCCTGTCATATGCACCTGGCTACTGGGCAAACATCCTTGATTGTCGCTCACATCTGTGAAATTCTACATTATTTACAAAATACTCACTTGAGATTAGAAGGTCTTTCTCCAGATATTGGATTATTCGCTGACGTTTTCTGTTTTGTATGACCCTGTGTGAGGTCAGGTATGTACTTTATCCTAAACCAATAGCAGAGAATTTTTATAATGCACTCTATACCTGGATTCTGTTCAGCAACTCAGTAACTATAACATGAAAACCAAAGGAAACCAAGAGGGATAATATGAAATTGACAGAGTCCTAAGAAAGTAAGGAAAGATGGAGTGAAAGGAAATGAAAGGCCTTCTGAACTGGCGTGTTGGGTGAAACCATTAGAATTTTCTAGCTTAGCCCCATGGATGGAAATTTGGATCTCCCTGTTCAATGAAGTATTTCTCTGTTGTTGGTAGAAGACAACATGACCCTTTTCTTTCCTGCTGTTCCATTGGGCTTCCTGGTTGGAACTGAATCCCTTAGGATCAAGATTGAAGCTATCATTAAATTACTGGAAGAAGAAAAGATTATAGGTGCACAAGCTAAAGTAGTACTTAATCACATGCAACCCACGACAAGACTCTGAAATGGTGGATTAAAGAAACAAAATGGATGGATGGATGGATGGATGGACGGATGGACGGACGGACGGATGGATGGAACAATCTATCATTATAATATCATATTTGAGTGATATAGTGAGAAAGAAAGAAAGAAAGAAACTTTCTTGACTTAATAACAGATGGTTGTGGATGGATGGATGGATGGATGGAGCAATCTATCATTACAATATCATATTTGAGTAATATAGTGAGAAAGAAAGAAAGAAACCTTCTTGACTTAATAACAGATGTTTCACTGTATCTGGATGTGGAAAGTTTTGTGGAAAGTTCAACAGCCTGACAGACCAGTTTCTTAGCTATAGAAGCAAAGTCAATAGAGGGCTCCAATACTGATGGAAGCACAAGCAAATGGATGACAACATCAAATAGGACCGACGTAGTAAGAGCAAAATATTCTGAAATCCTGAAATAGCTATGCTTACAAATTCTTCAAGACGGACGTGGTGGCGCTGTAGGCTAAACCGCAGAAGTCTGTGCTGCAGGGTCAGAAGACCAGCAGTCGTAAGATCGAATCCACGCGACGGAGTGAGTGCCCGTCGCTTTGTCCCAGCTCCTCGCCAACCTAGCAGTTTGAAAACATGCAAATGCAAGTAGATAAATAGGTACCACCTCGGTGGGAAGGTAAAACGGCATGCTGCCATGTGGCAAAGGAAAACTGTCTTCGGACAAGCGCTGGCTCTACGGTTTGAAAATGGGATGAGCACCGCCCCCTAGAGTTGGACATGACTGGCCTAAAAATGTCAAAGGGAACCTTTACCTTTACTTTACAAATTGTTCAAGCCCTGTCCATTTCAGCACCCCTCTCCACCTGAAAGCGATGGGACTTTATCAGGACCACACTTGGGGTTGGATGGTTGCCTTTGCAGTTATTTATCTCTTTGTTGATTAAGATCCAGTGGTAAAGACATGAAATTAAACTCTACCATGCATTTCGCATTGCAAAAATTTATGAAAGTGAACTGAACCCTTTCAGGAAAAAAGTTGGTACCAAATGGTGAACTGACATGCGCCATGCTTCCTTGGCTTGGAAACGAGGATGAGCACCGCCCCCTAGAGTCAGACACAACTGGACTAAATGTCAAGAGGAACCTTTACCTTTATCTGCATCAGAAATTTCTTTCTTTGAAAGGAACGTTGATGTCGGGACCAGTTGCAATGCCTTTTAATCCCGTCCACAACCTGTTTCCTCTTTCCATTTTGGATAACAATCTCCTGCTTGGCACCTGCTACATTGTTTAATTTAGAATTGGTAGCTGGCACATCCTAGAAACCGTCTTTTGATTTGATTTACTTTGAGAGTTCAAGGGAGCTATTATATTTATCATGATGAAATAACAAATATTCGTTGGGTTGGCTGACTAGGGAATCCGAGCCTCCTTCAATATGATGAGCCACGCACAACACAGGTGCACAAATTATTTATTTAAAATATTTTTACCCCACCTTCCTCCTTAAAAGGCCCCAGGGTGGTTTACAATAATTAAAGGACAATATTTAAAAGATAAAAACAGTGAGTAGGCAAATGTTTTAAAAAGAATTAAACCAGTATTATATTTAAAATGGTCACTAAAATTAATAGTAGAAACACATTTAAAAACAGCAGAGCAAAACAATTGATTAAAAATATTTA